CTTCAGCCAATCACTATCTCTCAATTTAACTGAAGTCACAGGACTATTGTCGAGGGAAATGAGATGTAGGAAGGAATATATGCTATCTTTGTTTCAGGTTGTACTTCTAATTAATAAATACACATATACACACACACAAACACTCCTACACACATATACATTGTTTCCTGAATTTTCTACAGTTTATGAATTAGGTACATTATGTACATATTGACTAAATGTTGCCTCACACATTACAATCCGTTAGGAAGACATAAATACCAGCCATGATGATACATATAGGGAAAGTTGTGCATTACTGAGTCGGATTACTGTTCTGTCTAGTCACTACCATCTGCTTTGACAGCTCATACTTCACTCTTCTCTAGAGCTAACAGCTGGAAGAGAAAGCCAGACAAAGGTTGCTTTGCTGGCTACGTCTTGAAGTATCTATTGGGTACACAGCAAACCCACACAGAAGTCTGTATCTCTTGTCTTCAAATCTGATTTGAAGAAGTAAAAACACATTGCAGGTAGTTCTCAACTTACGAGAAAATTTCTGTTGCTAAGCAAGGCAGCTGTTAAATGAGTTTTGCCCCAGTTTACAACCTTTTAGCCACAGTTGTTAAGCAAATCACTGCAGTTGTTAAGTGAATCATACGGTCATTAAATGTGGCTTCCCACATTGATTTGGGAGATCATAAATGGTGATTATATGATTCTGGGACAGCGCAACTGTCATAACTACATGCCAGTTGCCAAGTGCCCAGATTTTGGTCACGTGACCACAGGATGCTGCAACGGTCATAAGCATGAAAACCGGTCATAAATCTTTTTTCAGTGCCGTAATAACTTTGAATAGTTACTAAACAAATGGTTGTAAATGGAGAACTAGCTATAGTTTGCTTTGGTTTTGAGTGCAACCAAAGTTTAGAGCAGCTTTCAGGTGAAAAATCGGGATACTGACTTGATTTCAATCTGCAATTCCACACTGTAGAGTGGTAGAATACTAGGGTTAAGGAGACATTCCCAGCTAATTTCAGACTCAAAAGAAACATGTGATTCTTTAGTTCTCCAAAAACTGGCTGTCCTAATGAGGACGGCGAGTGAGATGACCAAACTTTCCTACTGCCTATTACTTTTGGGGAAAAAACTCAAAACCCTAGCAATGCTAAGGACTGAATAAATTCTATCATGCAACATGTCATGTAATTCATAATTCTTTTTTCTTATAGACTATTGACTTACCAGAGCCTGATCCAGAAATATAATCATCATCATCAAATGGGTAGATTCCCGATGCTTCCTCAATAGAGCTGTTGTCAAGGTATAAGTCTTTATCAGAGGTCAGATCTGCTCTCTGGAAATGAATATAAAACAAACGCATCATTAATTCACTGCCACATTACAAAAACAACCAAAACAACTTCTAATTTAGAGATACCTTACTAAATCAATATTAGAATGGAGGAAGAAATTGCGACAAAAAGATAGTGGCAAATTATTCTAAAATATCAACTTTTAAAATGGAATGGTGCCAGTCAGTGTTGGAATGGATTTACCCAACAGCTAGACAAGAAAAACGGAGGATTCATAAACTGTCATATTTGAGCTTAATGACTTTGTCGAAGCATAAAGTTTGTATTTCTTTGGCTTTAAGAGGTCATTAAAAGTTACATTAAAAGTGAGAAAGACCCCAAACTCCTCCATCTCTTTGGATACCTATACATCATAACCTCCAGGAAAATATTCCCAATGCTGCAAATTGATAGTTGCTGACATGATCCGTGCATTAGAAAAAGGAGATGAGAGATCTCTCATTTTCCTTTTATATGACAACTCACAGATAAACGAGTGAACACAGTATGGACAAGCAAAAATCAAGGGTTAGGGTTTCAATTTAGGGCTCCAGAAGAAGAATCATAGTCTATCAAGCTTCAGCTGTATCAAAGTGGCGGCAAGAAGGCAATGTTTGTTTCAAGATTAGGATAAACTAAGCTATTTTCCAGCTGCTCAAGAAAACAGGTGTTTGTTGATCCCAGTTACAGATACCTGGGGTGGATTATCTCTGGCTAATATTTCGTCTGCCATTTCAATCATGTGACTAACAAAATAAAAAGGTAAATGTGTATATGCACAAACACACAGATATGCAAGCCCACCATTCATTACAATTAATGTAATATTAGGAGTTCTACACAAGCTTTCCAAAACAGTCAATCTCCTAATACCAATTCTCTTTGAACCATTTTAAAGGGGCAAAACATTTCCAAGACTGCCAGATGGTAATCATTGCTCTGTCTCTTTGATAAAAGACATGAAAAGCTGCTGCTCTTGAATGCAAATAATTGATGACTTAAGTGAAGTTTATTCGTATTACTTTCAAGTACAATGTATAAAAGTGTACAAAAATATGATTTTAAAAAGCTTAAATCAAGGCAAATATGCTTACTATACAATATGATACATAACTTAGAAGGAAAAGTATGCAACAAATATGATTTTAAAAAGCTTAAATCAAGGCAAATATGCTTACTATATAATGTGATACGTAACTCAGAAGAAAAATCCAACCAAATTTAGCAGGATTTACTTCCAAAACAGTTTGTATAGGGTTCATTCTGGAGCATTTAGCATTAGACTCATAAAAAAGATGCAGAAACTCTGTTCAGCACACTTAATCAGGGATTGCATTCCCATCCAGCCGTTATTATCCCACTTATACTGATATTCTTAGAGTATAATGCTGAAAAATCCTCTGACCTAAATTCTTCACATATTATAAGTCAATGATCTTTGGTGCCCAGTTAAATATTGAATAAACAAGAATAAATCTAAATGGATGTGCAATACATTAGTGTCCACTAAGCACTAAATACAGGTTGCTTCATCTCAAATATCTGCTGAATGCAGAACATCTGGAAATAGCTACCCTATTACCAGACATCAACACATTTCAAAATGTATTTCTACTGAAACTATTTCCTGATAGTATTCAATGATACTTTCTGGTGTTAAGTTTCCAGAAGAATAAACTCTATAGGATGGCAATTGCTTTCCTTCCCTGTTCAGGTAACATATTTAAGTAAATATGAGTATGATAATCTTCATTTCATAATAACTAGAGAAGAAAATGTTTTATATGCATTGATTTTTTGCTATAATTCTGAAGATACATTATATATATTATACAAATATCAAGTAAGAAGTAGTAGTGAAAGTGAACAGGAATGGAAAACCATTTCAGGAAATACTTTATCTAAGTATTTCATATCAAAAAGCATCTCTATAAAGATTCTGAGAATTCTTCTATCTCTAAACCTTTTATTGAATTAGATATCACAGAAGGAAATAGCTATGAGTCTATTATATAGGTACATGAATACTGCTATGGCAACTATAAAAAATGCTTATTCTGCCATAGCAATATTCATGTATCTACATAATAGACTCAGCTATTTCCTTCTGTGATATTAATTCAATAAAAGATTTAGTGATAGAAGAATTCTCAGAATCTTTATAGAGATTAAAACTCTCAGGATGCTTTTTGATATGAAATACTTAAAGTATTTCCTGAAATGGTTTTCCATTCCTGTTCACTTTCACTACTACTTCTTACTTGATATTTGTATAATGTATATAATGTATCTTCAGAATTATAGCAAAAAATCAATACATATAAAACATCATTTTGCTAAAAATGTAAACAGTTTTGATAACATTTCATTTCTAAATAGATCTATTTAAAAGTCTGTAAATTATTTGTAAATGTACAAATAATGGCACTGTAAGCCATATGCACTTTTCTGTCAGCAAGCAAGATTCTTCAGTGTCAGGGGAAGTAACATTTAATAAAGGATTGAGTCTTGGAAGAATCTGCCTCAGGACTCAATAAGTTTTATTAAGCATTCTTTCTACAATGACGTTTTCAGTGACCTAGAATATCAGCCTGAAAAAGTCCATTCAGCACCAAAGGCTGAATAGTGCTCAAAAATAAAATTAAACTTCATTGTTTCCTTTCTCAAATCATTTTTCGTGAAACTGACTGACTGACTGACTGAAAGAGATTGTGTCTTCAGACATTGGACATATCTTTACTTATGTTTTATATGATGCTGAGTTCTTGTCCAGAATTAGAAACATCTGCACTTTAAGGGATTAAGACTGATGTCCTTTCTTTAACAATTCTTAACTGATATCATAGCTCTCATAAGTCATTTGCTGTCTTGACAAGGAAAAAAATAGATATACATTTTTTCAGAGTCTGTATTAGCAAAAAAACAGTGGAAAGTAATGAACTGTATGGATGCTTCAACATATTCTGGGCATACTCAGCACTTCATTTGTGCAGTTCATTAAAACATTTTTCTAGCCCATTAGCCCAGAAATTGGCAATGATGTGCCAATGAGCACCAAAGCACTCATAATCATTTCTCTATACTCACCGTCTTCTTTCACCATCTTACATTTTTTTAAAGAAAAACTGGCCTTCTGCACAGTTCCAATCCACAGGATGTTTATTCACAGTAATATAATGTTCTTAGAAATGAAAACAATGTATTTTCTTTTGTTTGAAAATGTGTCCACCTACTCATAAGGGCAAAGGTAAGCTGGAGAATCACAAGAAATAATAAGTAAAGGGGGGGAAAAAATCACCATTTGCTTTCTCTGGCTTTAAAGTTTCCATGACCACCGCGGCAGTTAGTCCATAAATATATAACATCATGGCAACCATTCTTCAAAAACACCCTCAAAAATCCCAAATATTCCTGTCAATGCACAAAAAAGGTTGCCTATTGATAGACACTATCACTCCCCATGATGGTACCCTATGGATTTCTAGCATTTCCAGCAATTGCCAGCTAAAGGAAGATAAATAGAATCCCACAAACCTGGGGGAATCATCAATTTGAGGAAACTGAATTTATTCATTGCTTCAGTAAAGGCTAGAAGGAATGCAGTACTTATTGGGAATGCAACTCTATGCAATGTATGTGCAAATATTTGTTTTCATCCAGTAAAAAAAGATAAAGATAAGTTGGTTCCCTAATGGCTACATGGGAAAGGTCCATGATTTTTTCTTGGCAACATCAAAGAGTGGTTTGCCATTTGCTTTTACAATAACTGTGCTCCCTGTGAAACTGTCTAAAAGCTCTAAACACAATATCCATTAGGGCTGGCCTTTCTGTTATTATTTGATATAGTTACTGAAGTTTTATTGATTTACTGTCAAAACCAAGAAATGAACAAAATGACAGATTGTGCATGAAAAAAATGCATTGAAAATACACGTCTATTCGTTATCATAGCATTAAACAGCCTGTATGCGTATCTTGGTCATCATAAATGTTGTGCTACAATAAACAGGAGTCACGATTGAAAAGAATTTAGCAAGCTTTTTTTGAATTTCAGATGACCAGGTAGCTAAAATGAGAGTATTCTCCTCCTCTCAGTGACTATGCTATAACTTAATAAAGGCATTAATAGAGTTATCAAGGCATTTACAAAGACAGTGTTTTCCATACTAAACAGGGGCAAATTTGGTCTTGCACAGGAATGCTGCTAAATCTTCTTTCCAGCAGCACAGAGAACAAAGCATTAAAATGAACAAGGGCAAGAGGTCTCTTGAGAGCTGATCAAAGATATTAGGTAGATATTTGGCATAGGAGAAGGGTCTTTCAAATAGGCTTATCTGGTTCAGGGAAAAGTTGAACCAATGTCATACTGAATATTATTGTTATGGGCCTATTGCTTCAGCTGTAACAAAGCTTTCTCAAGGTTAAATAAGATCAAGTGTTGAGCTGACAACCTATAGAATTTTAGATGTAGGTCACTAACTACCTTCCATGATGACATCCTTGCAAACTGCTAGTGAAACCAAATCTGAACCCAAATTTCAGCAAGGTTTCATTTGAATCTCTACAGCATGGGTATCTGCAGGAGCTTGCTGCTTTCATCAATAGCTGCTTTTCATCATGATGTAAGCTCTGCCCCTTTTGAACATATATGTGGCATGTCTTGCTTCACAATGCTATAATGCTACTTTCATCATTGGCCCCTCCTGCTCTGTAGATGCTGCTGCTGCTTTACAGCAATTAAATCAATTTCCAATCTCAGAAACATATCAGAAATATGAATTTGGATTCTGTAGCTTCAAAACAACAGAGATAATAAAATATCAAATCTTCCCACCAGATAATAGATGTCCTTGCTCTAGATATTTTTGGCAATGACCGTTACCAAGATTGGTGCACTGTAGGATAGCTTTTGAGAATTTGTGAGCCTTGGTAAAATGACAGCATTTTGTTGTTCTTTCCAGATGTTTGAAAAGAAACATCTAGATATTTAAATACACTAGTC